GGGGGCAGACAGGTGTGGGTCCGAATCCCACCCACTCCCCCAGCCCCTTGCTGGCCTGGGACCTTGGGTCGGTCACTGAGCCTCCACCAGCCTCTGTTTCTGGTCTCCAATGTGGAGGCCCCAGCCGCAGCCTTGGGGGATGCCGCCTGTGCCCTCGGCCAGCTCCCTGTCACGCTCAGGTCCGCCCGACACACAGACACAGGTAGAGAGCCAGCGAGCTCGGTGCCGGGCACAGGTGGGGCCGTGGAGCTCTCCGGAAGAGGCCTGGAGCTGAGCACGTGCGCGAGGCCCTGGGACTCCAGGTGGCCCTCGTGCTTTGCTTCGCTTTCCGCTCGCCGTTCAGGGCTCTCGAGGCGGGAGCCCGGGACACTGGCCTTCCGAGCAGCGGGCGTCTGTCCTTCCTCCTTCCCTCGCGGTGACCTGGTGACTCTACGAGGGCCGGCTTTCCATGCAGTAGGCTGGAGTTTCAAGGCACGCACTCTACTCCTGAGACGCCGGTGGGCCCAACTGAGCCATTTTCCTCCTGCGCGGGAGCCATGCCCGGCCATCAGGGGAGCGGGGAGTACCGCTCACTGGGAGGTTCGGCCCCCTGGGCCCGGCTCTGGCTCCGGCCCTCCCCGGGCCCCCAGTCTGGCTTCTCTTCCCACCAGGAAGGGGCTCCCGCCCCTCACAGGAACAGACCTCCGGGGCCCAGCCGTACCCTGTGCTAGATCACCGGGGAGGCCTGGGGACGGCAGGGGCCTTGTGGGGACGCTCGGAGCCTGCCGAGGGCTAGGAGGAGGGGCTGTGGTGCCCCTTCGCCCTGGCTGAAGCAGGCGTGCGACTACTTCCCTCCAGCTCCCCTGGCCTTGGAACTCTGCCGGGAACAATGTTCTCAGGCTCGTTACAGAAGAGGGGGTCCTGCACATGGCCGGGGGCCACAGCACTCAGAGTGTGCCGCTTGGTGACCCCACTTTGCTGCCTGCCATGAGTGGGCATCCAAGCTGGAACCCTGGATGCAAAGTGGCTGACTCCTGCTCCTCGTGTTGTTTCTGTCCACATTTTTCTTTAGTGTGGCCACGACACCACGTCAACACGCTACACGCCCTGCACCCAAGCAGGACCCCAGGGTTCCACCTGCCCACGGACTGCGGGCCCTGGGGTGGCGGCACGCCCCGGCCTTGCACCCGTGAAACGGCACAGGCCCGCTTGCCCCGAGGGGTGAGAGACACGTCCTCGGAGGTCCTGGCACCGCACCTGAGGCTTCGATCATGGCGCGTGCTCTACCCTGCTCCCGCCGCCTCCGCGGGCAGCCTCCGTGCTCTCTGCAGCACTGTGAGAGTCTCAGGGCAAGATTTTGGCGATTCCTTCTCCCTCCCGAGTGCTCGCGCGTGGCGGGCCCTCGCGAGTCTCGTGAGTGAGGGGCTCTGGGCCCCATGCCCTGCCGCTCCACTGGGACTCGCCCGCCCCGGAGGGCCCACAGTGGTGGGCGGGCAGGGCCCTGGGACGCGGCACTCTCCTGGGACATCAGTTTGACATCAACATTTTGGGGGTGAAAGTGTGTGTGTGTGCTTTTAGTATTCAAACCAACACTGACATCTAATGCAGTAAGATGAAAACTCACATAAACTTTTAATGTGAGACATGACACTTGAGAGTACTTCCATGCCCAGGCCAGCTCCTCGGGGCTGTGCCTTCACACGGTCCCCGGGCCAAAGGGTCTTGAGGCCAAGGCATAAGGAAAGGCGCCGTCAGCCCAAATCCAAGGTGGGAATTGCAGGCGGTGCGGAGCCAGGGGTGCCTGGGGTTGCCTGGGCCCCTGGGGCCCAGGTCGTGCCTAGACAACGGCAGAATGCCCTGCCCGCCATCGCAGCAGGAAGTTCTGATTATACTGCAGGCAGATAAAAATAAAAGAGAGTTCATTTGTGAGACAGGCTGCAAAGTGGTCTCTGAGAAGCTGTAAGTGCTGCTCAGCCCGTAACCGTTGCTGAGCGGACGCTTAACAGCATTTACACCTTCCTGCAAAGCCGTCTGTCACCGACACACGGCGTGGCGCCCTGCAAACAGAAACGGAGGGCCCTGTCTTTCCCCAGATCAGAGTCACCAGGGTCAAACCCGACGTCAGCCCTTTTCTATTCTCCCCACAAACGCACAGCAGGGGAGGTTCAGTTTCTCAGGTCCCTATGAGGCCCTCTGAGGTTCTAGAAGGTTCACTTCTGCTCCAAGGTGCCCGGCATGGGACTTGGGACCTGGCAGGTACTTGATCTGCACCTGTTGCCTACGAGACTGGACACATAGGTTCTCTCTCCAGCACCGAGCACACAGCCTGGCGCGTACCAGGGCCTCACCCGCATGGCCGCACGGCCGGTGCAGTGTTGGGAGGGCCTGGAGGCCGTGTCCGCCCGCCCTCTCACCCTCGTGATGCACAGCGGTGGCCGCAGCCACGAGGAGGATCTACCCGCAGGTGCCTCATTCCCGCTGCTGCCCTTCCCACGGGATCACCCTGGAAGGAGACCAGGAGGGGCCAGGATGTCGGAGCTGGGAGGGGCTCTGGAGAACCTTCTTCACTTCCTCCTCTGAGGTATGGGGAAACTGAGTCCTGGCGAGGTAATGGGATCTGCCGACAAGTGCACAGCTTAGCCCCCGCCAGGTTGGGTGGGTGTAGGGTAAGGAGTTGCGATTTCTAACTGCGAGAGTGGGCTGGGCTGCACAGCCCTGGGGCCACCGTGCCCCTAGAGCTCTGGTGCAGGGTTCCTGGTGCGCCAGAGCATGGCAGAGGGGCTCCGGGCTGGCAGACCTGGGTCTGAATCCTTGTGCAAGGCCAAGCACGATGCATCACGACTGCTTTCTCCTCTCTACCAGTTGGGTGCCTTGGGCGAATCTCCGAGCCTCCCTGAGCCTCCACTGTCTGCTCTGGGTGATGGGGTGGCGCCCCAGGGCAGGCCCCCCCCCCCGCCCATGTGGCTGACTGTGTTGGACCTCAGCCACTGGCCCAGGGCCTGGCACACCGTGAGTCATCACCAGGGATGACTGAAGGGACCAACAAACGATGACAAGTGGGTAAATTAGTGCCATGACGGAAGGCCAGTTTTGCTCTAAATTACATTGAAATCTCTTTCCCAGAAGGGTCCCAGCCCAGCCCCAGCGCAGCCCAGTGCGTCTGTGCTTCCTGAGTTCCAAGTGCTCTGTGCATGGCCGAGAGCGGAGAGGACTCACACGTGGCTTCGCCCTGGAGACCACACAGGCTGCTGAGTCCCAGGACCCTGCTGAGTCTCGCACCCTTCCAGCGGGAGAAGACCAGCCCTGAGCCGCCAGTTGTCCTCTCTGCCTTAACCGGCTCCCCCGATTCCTTGCCTGACATGGCCCCAAGTTAATTCTCTCCGGAACCACGACCGTGGCTCTCCTGCCCCTAAATCCTTTTAAAACCAAATCAAGGCAAGCTCCTACCGACTGCGAGACCGCTACCAACCTGTGTGCCAGCTTTATGCCACTCACTGCACGCAAATGAACCCAGGTCACCCTCATTCCACTACCAAGGCCCTGCTTCACAGCCACGCAAACAGAGGCACAGAGCGATAGAGGAACCTGCCCACGGTCGTACCACCAGCGGACACACAGTGGGGACGCAGCCCGGGGCTCAGGCCCTCTGCTCCCAAGCCGCTGAGTCCACACGCTCCCGGCCTCCTGACCTCTGCCCCAGCCCCGCTCAGCACGCGGCCCGCCCACACGTCTGCAGACAGGGGCAGGCGCTTCATTCTCAGCGGCGGAAGCACGGGCTACCAGCAGCACTGTAGCCACACGTGCCACCTTGTCAGTCGGGTAGCAAACTGCTGCCACGCTCCCATCACCGTCACCGATGACTGATCCGTGCTCTCAGCACCGAGGTGCGGGCAGCCGTGCTGGCGCAGGCAGCGCTGCTCTGCGGGCCAGGGCGCTGCCCATGCCGGCACAGCCGCCCGTCAGAGCTTCGCTCCAGACACAGCTGGCCGGCCACACGGTGACGCTTGGTCCCCTGGAACCAGCCCGACCCGAGTCTCAGGGGCGGCGAGGAGACCTCCGTGCCTCTCACCAAGGATGAGGGCTGCTCACGGGCGCGACTGGCAAGTTGCATCTCGCTAATTCCGCGGACACGGCAGTGTGGACGCTGTTACCCCCGCTTGGCTGACAAGGAGGGCTCAGAGCCTGAGGCTGCAGAGCCAGTGTGCTGTGGGGCCAGACGCAGGCCCGGGCGGAGAAGCCAGGGTTCACCCCGAGGCAGCCCCTCGTCCCGGCCCAGCCCCCTGCCACTCCCCAGCAGGCAAGCCTCGTCTCCCCTGCCCTGCTGTCTGCCTGGTTCCCAGGGTGGTTGTGGGGTGGAGGGAGGCGGGCCTGTGAGTCCCCAGGTGGGTTCTGGGGAAGCAGGGCTGGCCAGGACCAACCCGGCCACCTGTGCCCTACTCGCCCTTCCAGACGGGCACCGCAGCCCTCCCCCGCGGCGCCCCTCCCCCGCGGCACCCCTCCCCCGCGGCACCCCTCCCCCGCGGCACCCCTCCCCCGCGGCGCCCTCCAACCTCTGCATCCCAGCTCTGCCAGGAGCTCCCACCGCCCCAGTCGAGGAGAAGAAAACGCACAGCACAGCCACCTGCTTTGGAAAGCAAGATGGTGTCTCCCACAGCCAGAAAGCAAAGTCAGGGACACCACTTAGACCAGAGGACAGTCAAAGCCACGTCAGACCAAATAAACGAAGGGCAGTGTTGACCCGAGCCAGAAAGAGCCGGTTCTCGCTCTCTGCCCCAGGCAAGTGCGCGGCGCCCTCCTCCGCGGCCTGGCCTGGCTGTCAGAGCACCGTGGTCGTCAGCCGTGTGTGTGTGCGGTGGCACTGGGAGGGGCCTCAAGAGCGGGGCCAGCCCCCACACGCTGGGCCACAGTCCCAAAGCAGGAGCCCAGCCGGGCGGGGCAGCACCTCCCGGCTCTGCAGGCAGGGCCCTGTGGGGCTGGGGCTGGAGCCAGAGCGGCGCCGCCTGCGTCCCGCATGCACCTACCTTTCTCTTGTTGGTTGGGCAGATGTAGAAGTTGTCGATGACGGTGGTGACGCCGGGCTGGAGGGTGAGCTTGGTGTAGGACGTCCCGAAATCCGAGGACCTGGAGGAACAGGGGACAGCCGTCAGCTACGTGACCTCCAGGTGCGGCACTGATCGAGCCACACGGTACCCGTGCCCGCCCTGTGCCAGCGGGCCAGGCAGAGCGCCGGGTGCCCTGAGCGTGGCCCTGGGCACCTCCCCCGGAGCAGCGTGTCCCTACAGGGCAGGCCAGGAGGCAGGGCTCCCTCGGGAACACAGAGACTTGTGCTGAGGTCCGGAGCTGGGATTCACAGTCAGGTCCTGCCCTCTCTCAACCCCTGCCAGCCACCCCCTCACTGCCCGCTGGGTGCCAGCATGCCTGGGTCACCCTCACAGACGACCGGGACGAGGCTCAGAGGGCACAGTTTCCTGCCCGGAATCACTCGGCTAGTAAGCGACCGACTCGGGATTTGAACAACGGCCCGTCCGATGCCCGTCGGCACCCTGTTTGCCACCAGAATGTTCCCCAGCTGTGCTGACATCGTGGTGCCCACTGCTGCCTCTTCCATTCTCTGCACCCCAAGCCCTCCAGCAAGCCCCACCCTCCGCCCCGGCCGCCACCTCCAGCACAGGACGGTAGGGGACAGCAGGCCGGTGCCAGAGCACTGAGCTGGCCTGGGAGCAGCAGCATGCCAGGCACACACCGGGAGACCAGGGCCAACCCAGCACCGCCTGGGCAGGGCCCGCCTGCCGCCGGGAGGGGCGCAGGTGCGACCCTCTGCAGGCTCACCCAGCCCAGCGGCAATGAGAGGGAGAGAAGCCACCAAAGCAATGTCACATCTGTGGTTTAGAAGCCATGGACACAGTAGGACATGGAATTAATTCTACACTGGAGATTGAGGTCCCAGGGACCTAAAACCAATGCCTCTTATCGGACCCATTAAAATGTGCTAGGATGCCGGAACATGCCCAGCTGTGCGGCCAGATCCCCGGGGAAGCATTCCCACCTCACCCATCTGTCACACGCGGAGCCCCAAGACAGACCCAAGGAAGGAAAGGAACAGGGACAGACGCACAGCTATTGAGTGCCTGCTGTGTACAGTGTGCCTCCTGGGCCTGTCTATGTTTAACCGCTGCTGAGACTTATGGGGCGGGCTGGGGGGACGCTGAGCTGGGGGCCGTTTGGGGAGCGCCCCAGAGTGGGCGAGAGGTTGGGCTGGACCCCACAGCTCTAGGGCCCTGCCTCAGCCCCCAGCACCCTGGCCCGGAGCCTGGCCTGCACCGCCTTGCTACAGGGGTGACTGAGAGGTGAGTACTTCTCACCCCTGCCCAGTGTGTGGCCCTGGGACTTTGGCACAAAAGCACCACGCCCATGGGGCTTTTGGGTTCCCTTCCATAGTCGTCCTGGTGGCTTCTACATGAAGACCTTTCCTCCCTAAATCTGCAAGTAAAACTGAGGCTCCAGGAAAACGGGCTGTTCATCATCTCTGGGCCTGGGGGGCCACAAGTCCCCAGACACTGTGTTCCTCCTCGGCCAGGACCATGAGCAGCCGGCAGCCCTCTGACCCCCAGGACCCCAGGGAAGAGCGGGCTGGAGGGAATGCAGCCCAATGGAGGCGTAATTAGGTGGCACTTACTCTCAAAACCTCAGAGAATTGATTTTCTTTGGGAGGAGGGAGAGAGGCCATTAGCAGAGGATCGATCTGGCCTGGGAGAGTCTGGAGTCCCGTAGGAACGAGTGGCTGTGTGTAGACCTGCCATGGCCATCCCCGCCCACACAGCGGGGCCATCTCCACCGGACCTGCCTCCACTCCTCCTCCGCGGCCTCGCAACACCCCTTCCCTGGTCCTGCCCGCAGCCCCGCACGTCCCTGGTCCCCTGGGCCATGTAGCCTGCTCACACCTGCTCACTCAAGGCTCCTGCGGTGCGGCCTGCTCACACCTGCTCACGCCTGCTCACACCTGCTCACGCCTGCTCACGCCTGCTCACGCCTGTTCACGCCTGCTCATGCCTGCTCACACCTGCTCACGCCTGCTCACTCAAGGCTCCTGCGGTGTGGCCTGCTCACACCTGCTCACGCCTGCTCACGCCTGTTCACGCCTGCTCACACCTGCTCACGCCTGCTCACGCCTGCTCACTCAAGGCTCCTGCGGTGTGTCCTGCGGCAGGGAGCCGTGCGCAGGGCCTGCTCCGGCCAGGCCGTGGCTTGGGGGGCAGACAGGCGATGAAGCAGCACAGCTGTGACAGCAGCCACACAGCGACGGCCAGGAGGGGACTGGACGGTGTGGGGGAGGACAGTGGGAGCAGCAGGAAGGCCCCTCGGGCAAGGTGGCGTTTGGGCAGAGCCTGAAAGGCAGGAGGGAGGCTGTGCGGGCTGAGCAGGGTCCCAGACACGCGTCCACTTGGAACCTGCACCCTGGCCCGGAGGCCTGCACCCTGCCAGTGTGGCCTTACTTGGAAACAGGGTCACAACACACAGGGAGAGGGCCTCGTGAGGAGGGAGGCAGAGGCCGCAGCGACACAGCCGCAGCAGCTGCCAGCCACCAAGAGAGGGGCCAGGAACTGTCTCCCTCTGAGCTCTGGATGGAGCCAGTCTTGGACACGTGGCCTCCAGACCCGCGCGAGAGGCGAGTCCCTTTGCTTTGATCTGCCCACGCTGTGGCGCTCCGTGACGGCGGCCCTGGGAGCAGCGCTCCTGGTGGTGCAGCCGCAGGTGTGGCCCGGGCATGGGGAGGGGTGGTCTGTGTGAGCCATGGGCTGCCGCCGCCGCCAGCTACACAGGCCTGGGGAAACTCCCTCGCCCTGCAGGACAACACAACCCCGCCCTCAAGTGTCCACGAGACCCCAGACCAGACCCCTGCCAGATGCTGGGGACATTCACTGATTACCCACCCACTCACTCCTCTACTGTTTGCTCAGCCCTATGCGAAGGCCTGGGAGCCTGTCTATTTCCCTGTTCAATGCATTCACACAGACGCGCTTGCTGAGAGCCTGCCGCGTGCAGTCGCCGCACAGGGCTGGGTGTCCGTCCTCGGTGAGCAGGACAGGCGCCGCCCCCCCACGGGTGACGGGCTGGCGGGCTGGGAGGGGAGGGCACGAGCGAGCGCACGCAGACAGGGAGCTGGAGCCGCGATGCCCACGGCACGTCCTGAGAGCAGACGGGACACTAAGGAGACATCGAGTCCCCGGGGCCACCGAGCAAGCAGGGGCAGCCCCGTCTCACACACCTGCTGGCCACATGAGGCTGCCCAGAGCCGGCACGTGGCAGACAGACCTGTCCGAATGGAGACACCCACCACTATAAAAGGCACACTAATTTCACAGACAGCATACAAAACGTAAAATATTTCATCACGACTTTTATATTGACTATATGTTGACATAATATTTGGGATTATGGAGCTGATTAAAATCTACTATTAAAATTAATTTTGCTGTTCTTTTTTTTAAATTAATAGGCTTTATTTCGGAGTCACTTTTAGGCTCACCGCAAAGCTGAGCAGCGAGTGCGCGCCCACACCCGTGCCCACACGGGCAGCCTCCGCCACCGCAGCGGCACGGCCGCCCAAGCAAGGAAGCCGCTGGCGCCGGCGTCTGCAGCTGCCAGAGTCCGCCCTTGGCGCTGTGCGCTCTGCGGGCTAGGACAAATGCATGATGACACGGGTCCTCCACGGCAGCGTCACACAGCAGTGCCTCCGCCGTGAGTTCCTCCGTGCTCCGCCTGTCCATCCGTCTGTCCCCGCCCTGCCCAGCACCGGTCTCCTCGCTGTCCCCACAGCTTGCCTCGCCCAGAGCGCCACGGGTCAGAGTGCTGTGTGCGGAGCCTGCCCAGAGCGCCTCCGCTCGCTCGGCATATGCGTCTACGGTCCCCGCGTCAGGGTTTCTCCTTAATGTGGACACTGGGACATTTAAACCACACACTTAAAACACTATTGGCTCAAGCTCTTTCCCTAGTGGGTGTGCCAGCCTGCGCGAGGTGCCACGGCAGCAGGGCGTCCGAGGGTGCGCACAGGGCACCAGTGGGCGGGCGTGTGACCCTTGGGACAGCACCGTCCCGGCAGGCGGGCTGCGGGGCTGTAGGGCAGGTGCCTGGACGGTGCCCGGGTGGCAGCACGCGCTGCCGGGTAGGTCGTCCCTGCTGCTGTTCTAGGAGCGGCTGTGGCTGCTGGTGGGGCAGGCGGCCAAGTGGGCAGCAAGAGGAAGGACAGACGGGGCCCAGGAGGGGTCGCGTGACTCGGGGCTCGACGGCGTCAGGTTGATGCGGCGGTGGGGAGGGACACTAGCTGGGTCACAAGGAGGGTGCGGTGCTGCTTGGGGGATGGCAAAGGCCGGCTGGGCGCCAGGACAGCCCCCGGGTGAAATTTGAGGTCAGGGGACCTGGGCTTGCGTCCCCATGCTGCTGCCGATATGCTAAGCTGCCTGGGCAGCAACCAGGATCTTGTCCTCAGTTTCCCCCTTGGAGGCACCAGAGGGCTGGAGTTAGGAATCCCTGGGTCCCGCCAGTATAAAAGGCCGTGGCCACACGTCCGCCACCAGCAGGCAGGCACCCACAAGTGCCCCCGACTCTCTGACCTCCCGGGACCCCTCCCACGAGGGCTGAGGGCATCCAGGCCCCTGGGAGACTCGCCCAGACGCTGTGCGCGGCGGGCAGCAGAGTGTCCGTCCCAGACGCTGTGCGCGGCGGGCAGCGGAGTGTCCGTCCCAGACCCTGTGCGCGGCGGGCAGCGGAGTGTCCGTCCCAGACCCTGTGCGCGGCGGGCAGCGGAGTGTCCGTCCCAGACCCCATCATTCCCTCTGAGCAGCCGCTTCTCAAATGAACAAGTCAGCACAGCCACGGCACCTGCGTCTCGGAGGTTTATTCCCGAAACTAAGCTGGAAGATGTCGCGCAGCTCTGCCCGGGCCCAGCCCCATCCGTCTGGCAGGGTGCCCGGGAGACCCCGCTCTGGAACACGCCAGGTCTCTGGCAGGCCGGGCTGCTCCCCGAGGTGGATGGCTCGTCTCCCCGGGAGCGCACTTATCTCCACGGCACTCGCCGCACGCCAGGCTGCCAAGAGAGTTCGGACCTTGGATTGTGGTTGGAA